ACAGCTCCTATGCTCAGGATTCCCAATTTACCTAGATTTTCTGCTCAGGCCTGACTTTCAGCTTCCTGTTCTCCTGACTGGTTCACTGCATCTTCCTTGTCAAGTGATACATTTTTGTTTTAACAAATAGGATCACTATTTGAAGCTAGTTCTCTTCAAAACTTTGAAGGTGATACCCACCATCCCCTTTCTTGTTAAGCCTCCTTTCTCTCTTTCCCTTGTCTCTGCTAAGTGTTTCAAAGCTAGTCTGACCCTAAGTCAGCAGAGGTGGAGAAAGGAAATGCTCCCCTGGGAGTCCCCCCCCCCCCCCCCCCAGCAAATGAGCACGTGGGCATCCGAGAAGGCATTAGTAATCGGAGAAGGTTCTCAGCACCCTCACATCACACCATGCAGGTGGCCGCTACTCCAAGCACAATTAAGAATCTAGCTGTGTGGGTACAACTGGTACACCAGAATCACTAATAAATATTTCATGAATGAAAAACATGCATGGGTTGCTCTGATGCTGAACTTTTCTCCCAGAAACCTAAAACAGAGATGAGTCTTTGTTTAGTTTGTTTCCCTATAATACAAAACATCATTATTTCTGTTGGCATGGATGGTGAGCCAAGGCAAAGTAAATTTCAAAACATCATAGAATTCTTTCATTCGTCGCCCAATTATTATTGAGCACGTACTATATGCCAGACACTGTTCTAGGGGCTTGGGATACATCTTGTGGATGCAAAAAAAACCATTCAAACCTGTAGAGAATTTTTATAAGATTTTATTGGGGGTAATCTGACAACAATCGCCAGGAAGCAAGATCTGAAATGCTCTAGAGAGAATAAAGGTTTTGCAGTTTATGAATTTGAAATTCAGGAGGGAACATAAGGAAGGTGGGAGAAAGTGAGTGGGGATTGGATTACAGATTTAACAAGATTGTGTGCTCTCTTGAGGGTGGTTACACCTTCCAGGGTATTATTTCTGGCATTTCAAAGGTGTGTTAACCCAGATGCACAAGAACAATGGACAGGGCTGGCTGAACACCTTTCACTAAAGTAGTTATAAGCCTGGGGCATGACTACCCACCATGCTCTGCCCAGTTAGATCACCCTTTGAGGTTACTTTCCATAGAATTGACTTTTTAGTCCACAATCTGAACAAAACAGGCAAAGATAACTGCCCTCAGAAAGCTTCTATTCTAGCTAGGAGAGCCAGACAAGAAATAAACATAATGAGCTAATTCTCTCGCGATATAGAAAGCAAATACTATGAAATAAAGAAAAAAGTAGAGCAGACTTAGGAGGTTGAGAGTGAGGAAATAGGTTGCAATATTTTCAAAGGCAGTCAGAGGAGAAATTAAGATTTGAGAATTTCTGGTTTGACTCAGTGGTGAGAGTGTTGGCCCACGGACTAAAGGGGCCTTCGGCTCTGGCCTGGTAGCTCAGTTGGTTAGAGCATTGTCCCTAGACACCAAAGTTGTGGGTTTGATGCCCGGTCAGGACACATACAAGAATCAACCAATGAATGCATAAATGAGTGGAACAACAAATTAATGTTTCTCTCTCCCTCCCTCTTGTTAAAATAAATCAATACATAAAAATATATATTTTTTTTAATACATAAAAATATTAAAAAAAAAAAAAGATTTGAGATTTGGCAAAAGCTTGGAAGAGCTAGCCAAGGAACTACCTGGGTGTTGAGGCTCCCAGCAGAGGGAATGACTGAGGTAAAGCCCCCATGACTGAACGGTGGGGTCAGCATGAGGCCAGAGTTGCTGGAGAGAAGCCCAAATGGGGCAGAATAGCGATGGGGTCTGAGAAGGGGAGAAGCCGCACCCCACGGGACCTAATGGGGACTAACCATGATGGAAACTCCCCCTGCAGGACCTGGAGCAGAGGACAGGCTGCAGGGTTGAACTAGAAGATCTAAAATTCAGAGCTCAGCTCAGCTGGGCCTGTGTGGGCTTGTTCAGTGGTGTGGCTGCTGCTGGACCCTCCAGCTAGATTCAGGGCCGAACAGAGTCTGCTTCCCCAAATCTCCACAGAGACTGCCCCACCCTCTCCTATGCCCCAGGCACGCCGGGCCCAGGAACAGCCCATTCCCGCCCCAGGCAAGCATGTAAATGAGGCTTTGTCCCCTTATAAGGGGCAGGTCACCACCCACTACCCCAGCCATCCTGCTCCGTCCTAGAATCCTTTAGTACCTTCCACGTGGCGCGGAGGATACCCATTTCGTCTGGCCTCCTTCCAAGACCAGCCGTGCAGGTAAGCTCCCTGAACAAACTGGTATCCTTGGCGTTGCCAGCCTCTTTGGTCTCTCAGCCCCGGGATTTACCTAGGAGCTTGGGGACGGCTTTGGGTGCGATCCTCCCTCCATTTTAGCACCACGTGGATTATTTCCCAAGTTCAGGCCCAGGTGTATCTTTGGGAATCGGATCTTTTGTGGTCTCTTGTCCTCACATGAGGGCTCCGAGCTGGGTGCCACTGTTCCTGATGAGGGCAACAGTAAAGAGACAAAAAGAACCCATAATCTTCAAGAAGATTTCCCTAGGATAGAATTGTTTTAGGTGTAAGTGACCCTTTTGCTTAACATAAGAGAAACTTTAAAGCGCTTGCTTTCCCCTTCCCCATTAAAAAAAACAAAACAATTTATGACTCGACTAGTAATACCTCACAGATAGACTATCAGAAATACACCAGTTGTCCAACAAAGTTAAATTTACGAACTTGCTGAGGCAGGGGAGGCCATGCAGGAGAGGGATGGGGGCCTTGTGGAAAGGGGAGTTGGGGGCATTGCTTACAGGGTTGAAGCTCATGCTGTCCTGAGATGGGGCAGTTTAGGAACTGGGCGTCTGGGCAATCTTTGGGAGGTGGGAGGGAGGAATGCAGTGGGTCTGGGGAAGTCACTCATAAAAAAGCTGCAATTACTCAAAAAGGGACTGTTAGTCCTTCTGCAGCCGTTGGTGTGGCCTTGAGAGAAACATTGTTTTCTGTCCACTTTGTTACTGTCCTGGTTTCAGTTGGGTACATCGTGGTCTGATTATCAGTGGGGTGGATTTTCACTCTCAAGGTAGAGACTAGAGAAAAGCAAATTTAAGGGCTTATGGAAACCTGTCTGTGGAAGCTCAGGATTTATTTTTATTTATTTTTTTAGGATTATTATTTTTCTTTTTTAAATCTTTACTGT